CTTCGGTCGCAAAAACAGGTGGTTTCGACAACGGACAGCAAAAACTGTCCTACAATTCGAGTTATGTTCGTTCGCACGTGAGCCTTGCCCCTGTCAGGTCATGGAGACAGTTGTTCTGACGAAGTTAGAACCAGCGCGAGTGTCGAAATGCGTACAGCGTTGGCTTCGACGCCTAAAGAAGGTTAAATGGCCACGTAAGGAATAACTCTATTCTGTTCTGAGGCGAGACGACCTCGACAGCAGGAGATCGGCATTGCTAGTCACACTGCTTGAACGTACACCAATTACTGCCACCCGTGAGCTTCTCCTGTTGAGGCGTAAAAGAGCGTCTTTCAAGAGGGCAGCATGCAACATGGAGGAATATGGTAGAAGCAGATATGCCTTCAGAAGGGAATACTTTCTTCTGCGACGCGGTCACCGGTGCCTTATAGCAAAACGGTTGAAACGCTGCTCATACAGCGGACATCACAAACAAGAGACATTCAGCTTGAGCAAACGGCTCAAGGCGGTGATCTCAAAAAGCACAAAAACAGTAGTCACACAAAAAAGAATAAAAGAAAAAATATCCTTCAACCACCGACCATCCCCTCCAATGAATAGGAATGTCAAGCATTTTGAAAATGGTAACGGTGACAGGAGAAGGTTGTTCAAGTGAGTACCCTTCAGCCATTGCCAACTGTGGTCAAGCAATAAAAATCTAGGGCTCACAAATGGTTAATTTCCGAAACATGTGTCTGACATGATGGCAGGAAGAGACACTGTTTAACCTCGATGATATTCAAATGGATTCGTTAAGCGGGGAAGATTCGATGGCATTGTCTCATCAAGCAGGAGGGTAATGAAACATGCGTAGTGAAAGTCGGCTTTATGTTAAACCTGAGGGACTAAGAGGTCGTCCGTCAGAAATTCTGCCGACGACTCAGATCTTCGAGAAACTCAAAAGTAATGCAGTAAATCAATTGATAAATAATACCTCACATTTTTGACTCTGGGCCCATAGTTATATAGTTCGGTGTGTAAATGATCCGTGATTCAGGGCCAGGGTACAAAATCAGTTGATTTCTATTGTTTCGTTCGTCAGAGACTACCTGAAATTCAGAAAGAAGGTTGCCGCCGTTCACAACAAAGAAGAAGCAGAAATTGCCGATGTTCAACCAGAGACTATTCTCCCCATTTTTCATGGTATTTCCATGCGACCTTCAGAAAATTAGAAAACGTAGTTCACCTCAGGCTGGCCCATGAATCACTGCACTGCGGACTGCAATCATGGCACGGAGACCACGCGTCGTAAATGCAATATTCCCATGGTAAGAGGCAAGAGACTACAGCTGAAAGATAGAAACTAGAAGCCCCCTTGAACGTGCTGCCCTCATCTCAGACGGCTTTGGTTGTATTTTTTCTTCAAATCTTGGTCAAATAAACA